CATTCTAGCCATAGCAGGTTAATAGTACTGGATATTTTTGGATATTTGACTCTGTTCCATAAACATTTGTTAAGCACCTGCTTCATACAGAGCCTAGGGCAGTAGGTACTGGAAGGACATAGAAAGTGTAAATGAGACACAATCCCTGCCCTCAGAGAGCTGACTGTCTGGTTGGGAGAATAAGAACCCAACACATAACAACATTATACAGCATTACCTGATAAATGCACGAAGCACATACAGTAAAGCAAGATGTTATGGTGTCACTGGAGTAAAGAGAAAGTTGTTGTGAAATGCCATGAAAATGAGAGCTTGAGCAGTGGCAAAACTTCCGGTGTGGGCCAGGGACAGATATGCCAGGCACAGAGAGGATGGAAGGAGGTGGAAGCCATAGCTGAATGAGTCAGCGAGAGGGAACTATTTTTAAAATGACAATATCTTGGGATGTACCAAACCGGGGGGGAGGGTGCTTATACTGCCAGCCTCACTGGACTGTTGTGAGGAATGGGCTTTGTGAGCACCACACAAATGGAAGATACGTACAGCTCTCCCTAGTACCTGTGGGAGAACTCTTCATTCTCCCCCTGTGTGTCTGCCTGAATCATGACCTGTGTGTGGCCGGATACTGCACGTTTTTAGAGGGATCAGCGTTAGGGAACAGCATTGAAAACTGAAAGAAAGAAACAGGTGCAGATATAGTTTTTAATCATATTAAAATTTTTAGGGTCCCCCCCTTTATAAAACTAGAAAGGATTTAGGATTATTGAGCCTGACAGAGAAGAAATTTGTGGTCCCCGGAGAGCCCTTTCAGATCTTGAAGCACCCTTTGTGGGCTCCCCTCGCGGCATTCTCCAGACTTACAGACAGCTTAGTCTTGTGCTGAGTCCTAGTTGGGTGGCCACTGATGGCCTCTGATCTCTTCCAGGACAAGCAATGGAAAAAGCACCGTGATCAATGCCATGCTCTGGGACAAAGTTCTCCCCTCTGGGATTGGCCACACCACCAACTGTTTTCTCCGGGTGGAGGGGACAGACGGCCAAGAGGCCTTCCTGCTCACCGAGGGCTCTGAGGAGAAGAAGAGCGTCAAGGTAACGAGGCCCCCCTGGGGGCCTCCTTGGGTCCTGGGTGGGACTAGACATCTGTTCCATTGGTGGGCAGATCTGGAGAAGGGCCCCTAGTCCTCAGGAGGCATCCTCTCCTTGTCTTCCTCCCAGCCTCCAGGGAAGAATGTATGAAATCCTATTTCAGATATTTCTCTCCAGAATGTGAAAGGGCCGTTGGACCATAGAGAGTCTAGACACCCACTCTTGATTTCTTGCGTGGCCCTGCACGTGTCATTTGGTGTACTTTCTTTCTATGAAGGGCGAGCATATGCCATTTCAGATGGTTTCAGTTATAAGGTGTATTGAGATCTTTTTTCGTGTCATGCAGAATGCCTGTGAGCATTTGTCCAGGGGTTTGCACCTTGATTCTCCTCAGGGAGGGAGGAACAGTAGCCCAAATCTTTAGACTTGCCTAATGGCTTATCGTCTTGGGGAGTTTCCAGCCTGTTCGTTTGTGAGGTGTTGCAGGGTTGGAGAAGAAGCCTAAGTCCTGATCTTCAGAAAAGGGAAGAGAGAGAATGGCCCCGGGGAGTTTGACTTCAGTTCCTTGAACAGTTGTAGAATGTGTCACGTAAGGGCTACTAAGTGAGCATCTCTGCAGGGAAGGAGGCACAGGGAGTCTGACACAGGGATGCTGATGGACCTGTTGTAGTTGGCATTGTGTCCAGCTCTGGGTGCCGTATTTTAGTATCAGGCTTGGAGAGTGTCCAGAAGGGGCACCCAGGATGGCACCAGCTGCCATGCCAGTGCCGTGCAGGGGATTAGCTAAAGACACTGGGGTGAGGAGGGACGCCCGTGCCAGCTGTCTGTAAAGGTGGAGAGGGCTGGCATGGGACAAGAGGAGGCTGTGCTGCTGGCCCCACACCGTCACATCAGGAGAAGACACTCCCTCAGAGTCGGAGCTGCCTTAGGAGGCGGGATGCTTGTTCGGCCAGGTTAGGTGGCTCCTGAGGCCCGTTCTGCCCCATTCCAGGGCTCCGGGCTCTCACTCTGCACCCAGCTGGGTGATCGCTTTCCCTTCTCCCGACAGACAGTAAACCAGCTGGCCCACGCCCTTCACCAGGATGAGCTCCTCAATGCTGGCAGCCTGGTGAGCGTGATGTGGCCCAACTCCAAGTGTTCTCTTCTGAAAGATGACTTGGTACTGATGGACAGGTGAGCGAGAACGCCGGGGTTGTGGCCCCTAGGGGGGAGGTCTTCGTGGGGGTGAGAAGACCAGTGAGTCAAGGCAGGCCGGAGCTGAGCTCGTCACTCAGGGCGGACTAGCCACGCCGGGGTCACTCCTGTGTCACTTGGAACAGCATTCCAAACAGATATGCCAAATCAGTCTGCCTGCCTGCCAGATTCTCCTCAGTGTCGCCACACCTCTACGTTTGTTAGAATTCAGTGGCAATGAGGTGTGGGGGGGCCTGCCTTTTAACATTTCCTGAGAGTGATTTTTCACCTGTAGTCTGTTATCCTCAAGGCTGAGCTTGATTTTGCTCTGCTCCGTAGGCTCGTGCTCCATGTGCACAGATGATTTAGAATCCTTTAATTCTTCCTCTTTCTGCCGGGGAAGAAACGATTCTCCCCTTTGCTCTCTTTGCACAGTGATGATGTGCTTTTTTCTTCTTGTGCCCTTTAGTCCTGGGATTGACGTCACTACAGAACTGGACAGCTGGATCGACAAGTTCTGTCTCGATGCAGACGTGTTTGTGTTGGTGGCCAACTCAGAGTCCACCCTGATGCAGACGGTAACCCCTCCCCCCACTCCCACCCCCACTCAGTGGCCAGGCCAGCTGTGGTAGTGGGCTCCCCTGAGCTGGGGCTTCCTTGTTTTTAGGAGAAGCAGTTCTTCCACAAGGTGAGCGAACGCCTTTCTCGCCCCAACATCTTCATCCTCAACAATCGCTGGGATGCTTCTGCCTCAGAGCCAGAGTACATGGAAGAGGTGCGTGGTGCCCTGCCTGGCACTGCCTGGCACGAACTCATCACTTCCCGGAAGATGTTCACAGTACTTTCAGACTGCCTTGGTATTGGAGGAATGAATCCAGCCAATGCAGGGTTCAGGGCCGCTTCTCATTCCATTCCCCTTCCCCAGATGGTGTACGCCTGGCGTCCTAGAATGTCAGAGCAGATGGCATGTGGAACTGTTAGGGACTGTTGGACATCTGGTCCAACTCTGCCATTTTACAGAGAAAGAAGCTGAGGGACTTGTCCGAGATCGCTCAGGTAGTGAGGATAGATGAGGGACGCTGCCCTCGGCCCTCTGCCTCTCTTCATTACCTGGCGTGTCTTCCCACGGTTTCTGTGGATATGTACGGCACAGCATTTTTATGGGGATGGCAGACACAATTAGAGCTTGGTGTGCTTCATTTAGATAAAAGAAAGTCTCTATTTGCTTACTGTAGGGCTTGCTGAGGAATGAATTATTGAGGAAGGAGGAGAGAGAGCAATGTTAGCAGTAATTTGCTTTTTGACTTTGGGCAAGTTTACAAGTTTACAAACCCCGTCTCATTTTTCTCATGTGTAGAAGTAACAGAAAAGGTGACAGACTTGTAGTTTCCAAACTCTGCAGCTGCCCCTCCCTCGTGGGGGTGTATCTGCCCAGTCCTGGTGCCAGCCAGGGCCAGGTTGGCTTGCTGAATCAGAAGAGAAGGGCATCACTTTTCTCAGGCTTGGGCCTCCTGCAGGTCCGGAGGCAGCACATGGAGCGCTGTACCAGCTTCCTGGTGGATGAACTGGGCGTGGTGGATCGGGCCCAAGCCGGGGACCGCATCTTCTTTGTGTCTGCCAAGGAGGTGGTCAATGCTAGGATCCAGAAGGCTCAGGGGATGCCAGAAGGAGGTAATGGTGCCCTCGTTTATTAGTACAGTTATGGGGAAGCCAAGAACTATAGCGATGCTTATTTAGTCTGGTAATGGAAAAGGCGAGGAGAGCCTTAGGTAAGATGGCTTTCTTCCTTTCCCCATCCCCCTGAGCAACATGAATGATTTGGGGTGGTGGGTGTGACTGGCTTGTGTCAGTGGCTCAATCCTTGTCCTGCTAAAACTGGGCAATTCTCCTAGGAGGTGCCCTGGCCGAAGGCTTTCAAGTGAGAATGTTTGAGTTTCAGAACTTTGAGCGGAGGTTTGAGGTAAGGCCTCCCCCATCCTGCCCTACCCTGCCCCCTTCCCCGGCAGCATGTGACTCAGCGGGGCTCTTCTCTCCCAGGAGTGCATATCGCAGTCGGCCGTGAAGACCAAGTTTGAGCAGCACACCGTGCGGGCCAAGCAGATGGTGGAGGACGCACGCCTCATCATGGATTCTCTGCACGTAGCGGCGCAGGAGCAGCGGTGAGGACGGGGAGGAAGCTTCAGCAGCTTTGAGGGGAGGAGGGCCGTGCAGTGCGCTCTCATGAAAGAGAGGGGACCGTGTCATCCTGTGTCCTCCAGGGACACAGATTGGTCATTGCAGCTCCTCATCTCCATTACTGTGGTGGCTATGCTCATTGTTCTCCTGAGCCAGCTTACCCCACTCTGTGTTGGCTTATCTGTGTCTTCCCACACTTCTCTGAACTGTTTATTCTAATGAATGATATTACATGATGTGTTTATGTCGCGGTTTGTTCAGCAACTCTGTTTCTAGGTTTTTTCCCCTACCATATAAATGATTGCTGGGAATGTTTTAGTATATATCAGGACTTTCTGTCTCAGACATACTTGTGGTATGTGCCCACGGGTGGGAATGCTGAGTCAAAGACTGCAAATGTTTATTCAGTTTTCTTGCATTATTCCAAATTGTTTTCCAGATTAGGTGGACAAATTCACAGCTATAACATATTAATGGACCAGTTTTCCCACAGCCCCTCCAGTATTGACCATTCCATCGTGTTTATTATTTTTGTCAATTGAATAATAGAATTTTAGAGATGAAATTCTCTGTTATTGAACACCTATTATATGCAAGACATTGTAGAACAGACCCCAGTGATCATCTAGTCTACCTGCCTTATTTTATAGGAAACTCAGGCCCCTGGAGCAAGTGATTTGCCTGAGGTCACTAGTTATTTTGAGAGTTGGGACTCTACTGAGTCTTGTGAGCCTGATTGCATTGCTCTTTGACTGCACCATATCAAACCTTCTCTTAAAATTCCTGTCGATCATTAATTTGTGGGTTTGGAACTTATTCCTGCTCGCCTCAGCAGTTGTGAGGTGGTCCATTTTAAAAACATGCCTCTCAAAGTCAGCGCAAGCCCTGTTTGAGCACCTGCTGCGTGGCCAGCACGTGGTGGGGGGTAAAAATGTACCCCGTAGGAGCTGAGAAGAGTGACTCTTGCCCACCCGACCCTCACCATCTCTTCGGTGCCACGCAGGCACTAATAGTAGGTGTGCTTTTCCACTATCGAGGAAGCTTGTGGCACAGTGGGTAGAATGCTGGGCCTAGAGTCAGGAAGACATGAGTTCAAATGTAGCCTCAGATTCTTTCTAGCAGTGTGACCCTGGGTCAATCACTTAACTTCTATTTGTTTCAGTTTCCTCAACTGTAAAATGGGGGTAATAACCACATCTATCTCCCAGGGTTGGTGTGAGGATCAAATAAGATAATTTTTATAAAGGTTTTAACATAGTGCCTGGCACATAGTAAGTGCTTCATAAATTCTTATTCCTTTCCTCCTTCCCTTCCCGGTCTTTGTATTCCTGATTCGAGGAATCAGGATTCGAGAGTCCAGTAGGCTGACATGTCTTATAATTGGGATAAAAACTTGTAAATTCCAAAAAGACTTGCTCATTTGTTCTTTGAAATGAATAGGACAGTGAGCTCCCCAGTTCTCAGACTGGCTCATGGAAATAGGTTTTCTAATTGATGCCTTCTCTCTCCAGAGTTTACTGCCAGGAAACACGAGAAGAGAGACAGGAGAGGCTAGGATTCATTGACAAGCAATTAGAACTCCTAACTCAAGACTACAGAGTTCGAATTAAGCAGATCACGGAGGAGGTGGAAAGACAGGTGAGCACTGACTGTGTTTTAGAGCAGTGGGGTCAAATTCGGAGAGAAATGGGGTCATTAGGGACCCCTGACTGCCACATATTAACTCAGCTTCAATGTTTTGTGGTTTTTATTTAATTAGATATTTCCCAGTTTCATTTCCGTTTGACGTGGATGTTAGGCACTCTGGGTGTTTCAGCCCATGTTGGCGGGGAGAGGACAAAGCCACAAGCATAGTGACCGGGCTGAGGGGTTTCTGAGAGCCTGGCGCAGCTCGCTCATCCCCCAGCCAGGTTCTGCTGTCATCTGCTTGGGTCTGAGTTCTGGCTCTAAGGTTCATTGGCCCTGTGACCTCAGACAAGTCATTTCTCCTCATCTACAAGCCACGATGCGGATGGACTAGCAGTGTTCCAGAGCCCTTGTTCTGTCCCTCTTGCCTTAGGACCCTTGAGTAGAGTTGTGAGGAGTTGTGGGTGTGTCCAGCTTGGCCAGCCGCAGGAGCTCCTGTAGCGCTGTGGGGTGGCACACAGCATCAGCAGACTTGGTTTTGTTTTGTTTCCTGTAGGTGTCTAATGCAATGGCTGAAGAGATCAGGCGCCTCTCCGTGCTGGTAGATGAATACCAAATGGACTTTCACCCCTCTCCAGTGGTTCTCAAGGTTTATAAGAATGTGAGTCATTAAACAGTGGACAGTTTCCCAACCTCCTGACCAGTGTGGCCAGCACATGGAGCCCTCGATGCCCACCGGTGACTCGGCCCCAGCTGCTGGGACAGCTCCTCAGCCCCCAAGTCTGATGCTGTGTCCAGTTTCTTAAGTAGTCCGGAGGCTAGGAGGGTGATGTGCCTGAAGCAAGTTCTGAGGAATGTGGCTTCCCAGAAATCGCCTCTCCAGACTCTCAGCATCTTTGTTTTTGACTAAGAAACTCCCTCTCTAGGGATGTCTTGTTAGTAATGATAATAGCTAGCCCTTGTAGGCGCTTTCAAGCTTGCCAGGAGCTTGACATGCATTAACTTATGTGACCCTCACAATGACCCTTCATCTTCCCCTGTAGGAGTTACATCGCCACATTGAGGAAGGGCTGGGCCGCAACCTGTCTGACCGCTGCTCCAATGCCATCACTGGGTCCCTGAAGACCATGCAGCAGGACATGATAGGTTGGTGGGCCCCGCAGACCAGGGGTGAAGGGCAGCCAGGCTGCCCTCCGGCTCCAGTCAAAGGGCGTGTTGTGAATCTGGACCCATTTTTACCTTTGCTACCTTCCTCATGACCCAGCGAGGGATCCACATGTTACATATAGAAAGCTTGGCTTAACTTTGACTGATGAAAGCCTGGGGCTGACCCTCTCTGCTAACGCCTTGGGACTCCTAAAGGCTGGCTCTTTGGCCTCCACTAACAAAGTCACCTCACACGAAAAGGCATCGTAGACTAGTAGAAAGATTGCTCGACTTGACACCAGGCAACTTTGAATTTATAGCCAGCTCTCGATCCATCAGTCTCCATGGAAACACATTAAGAGTTGTGTAAACATGGGCAAATCGCTTTGACTCAGCCTCCTCTGCTCTTACACAGCCTCCCACCAGCATGGGTGCAGAGTCTAATGCTTCTCCTTGCTCTGCTATTTAATCTTCCTTTGTCCAGCCTCCTGGTAATGATCCTCTCTGTACTTAGCTCATCTGTCAGACAGACAGGGGCCATCACTGGGTCCACACAGATCTCCCCTGGCCTAGCACATCCATTACCACCGTGAGGGTTCCAGGCAGGTTCAGTGGAGGGCTGTTGGGGTGACTGAAGGTGATTGGGGTAGAATCTACCTCTGCAAGTGGACAAAGACATCTCTAAATATGAAAAGGCTGAGTAGAGGTAACAGTAATAGCCAAGATATCTCGATGTGTATCTCTCTCTCTTTAAGGCTTACAAAGCACTCTGTGTGTTATCCCGTTTGACCATCACAACAAAACTGGAAAACAGGTGCTGTTATTAACTGCTGTGGAGAGATGTTGAGTGATTTACCCAGGTCACCCACGTAATGGCTGAGGCAGGATTTGAACTCAGGACCTCCTGATTCCAAGTGCAACATTCTAGCCACTGGGCCCCCTGGTTGCCTCACAGTAGTGGAAGTATTAGGTGAATTTAATAGCATCGGAGTATCCTGAATAATAATCTAATACAGAATCTGCTGTTGAATTACGTCTGCTTTTGCATTGGCTCAGAAGTCTGTGTGGCTTGTGGCACCAACAGAACTTCAGATTTTCTTTTCACAGCCCTGTGACATTGCTGCGGCAGCTGCCATTCGCCTCCCGTAGCGTCCCTTTCAGAGGGCTCTGATTTGGTGTGTTCTGACTTCTCTTCCTGTCTCTGATTTGTACCAGATGGCTTGCGACCCCTCCTTCCCGTAGCTCTGCGGGGTCAGATAGACATGCTGGTGCCACGACAGTGCTTCTCACTTAGTTACGACCTGAACTGTGACAAGCTCTGTGCTGACTTTCAGGAAGACATTGAGTTCCACTTTTCTCTTGGCTGGACTATGCTTGTGAATAGGTTTCTGGGACCAAAGAACAGCCGGCGGGCCTTGATGGGCTATAACGACCAGGTGAGAAACCTTCCCACAGGCCAGAGGCTCCTCGGCTGGGAAGGGGGCTGTGAGGACACCACTTAGCTCACAGGGCCTCCGAGTCGGGCTCTCGGGGGACGTGATGGCCAGCTCAGCCCTAGCCAGGCTTGTCCAGCAAGTGTCCTGCGGCCTCACGTGGGCACCTCTGCTGAGGAGGACCTCCCGCCCCCCACCTTGGCACATGCAGGCACCACCCTAGCTGCTCATCCTGGAGCATCCTTCTCCCTCCCTGGCCTTCAGACTCTTCCTCTAGTTGTCCCGCTCACATTCTTCCAGCTCTGTTTTAAGGCTCTTCTCTTGCCCCGTCTTCATTTGCAGTTGAATTCACACTCACTCCATCCCTCCACCAGCATCAGGAATCCCGTTCTGGAGTTAGAAGGGATTTCACTGAGGCATGGACACTGGGGTTGGAAGTCACTTTGCTCTTTTTCCTTTCTGTCCATCTAGATTCAGCGTCCCATACCTTTAACTCCAGCAAACCCTAGCATGCCTCCCTTGCCTCAGAACTCTCTCTCCCAGGAAGAGCTCATGGTTTCAATGGTCACTGGCCTGGCTTCCCTGACCTCCAGAACCTCCATGGGAATCCTCGTTGTTGGAGGAGTGGTAAGTAGGGGGGTGTGTGGGGCGGGGGGGGAGTGGGAGACAGTGTTCTCAGGCCACTGCTTACTGTTGACCGACTGACTGACCATACGTTATAGCCGGTTACAGAGGAGGTCTTTAGGTGCCGCTCTTCAGCTCCCAAACGTCCCGTTGGGGTGGAATTCTTTGGTAATGAATCCCTGCCAGAAATCAGACCCTCAGAGGTGAAGTAGAACTGTTGAGGCCTATCTTCTGGCAGACAAGCAGAAATGAAGCAGCGCCTCAGCCCCGGCTGGGGAAAGAGGTGGATGCCAGTCACAGCCTGGTCCCTGTCTCCCTTCACACCTGGGGCTGCAGTGGCTGATTGGGCAAAGGGGAGCTTAACCACAGCCACTGCTGCTGGAGGCTGGCCAGGCCCTGCCTCGAGCTTCAGCTCATCATTCCATACCCACAGGGTTTTCCATACAACAACTCGTTTCTTTAGGGCCTTGGGCTTTTCCTCAGCACCACCCCAGACTCTTTGCTCTTGTTTCTGCACTTTCTTCCCAGTCCAATCAGTACCTTTACAGACCCTGGCACACATGACCCTCTCTCAGGGCCACCGGTCTGCCCTCGTCTCTCCTCTCACAGCCACGCCCTGGGTCAGGCCCATTTTACCTCTTTTCCTGGACTACAGCATAGACCCTTTTAGAAAATGTTTATTGATTCCTTTTGTTTTTACATCCCCTAATTTTCTTCTGGTATCTCTCCCATCTCCTGCCAAGGAGCCATCCTACATAGCAAAGAATATTTTTTAAAAGAAAATGAGGAAGAAGAGAAAGAACTCCAGAAAAATGGATAAAGGTAGCTTTCCTTTTCCCTCTGATGCCTTACAGACAAGGCCTGGGCAGGAACTTTCCCCCATGGTGAGTGGATGAGGCAGGTGACTTTGGCCAGACTCTCTCACCTCTGTGTCTGGCTTCTCATCTGTGGAACAAGGCCTGGGCCAGGAGGATCTCAGAACTCCTTCCAGCCTCGGACCATTGTTGAGGCTCTCACTGTTGCTCAGCATCCACTTTAACAAAGCAACCCATCAGCTGGGCCGCATGGCACAGAGCTGTTTGTTGTAGTAGTGTTCTCTAAGTAGGATTTCACCTAGACATTCGTTCTTGCCGGGCATGGCACCTTTATTTTTTTGTGGTTCCTGGCAGAACCACACTCTTGGCTGACTGGTCAAGCCCTGATCTTGTCCTCTAAGATTGTTGCTGAAACCCAAGAATCCCCTCTTATCTGAAAGTGCCAGGGACAAGGGCGGCGATAGCTCTGGGCTTCCTCCTTGGTGTTGGACACTCTCCATTTCTTGCTTCCCTCTTTCAGCCCCCAAGGCAGTCCTCTCATATCCTGTGCATCAGCAGACATGCTAAGTACTCAGGCAGAGATGAAGACAAGATCTCACCCTCATGGGGAGTTTTCAGCCTGGTAACACCTTTCCCTTCCCCAGATACAATGAGAGAGGTTTGGCTTTGTAACCCCTTCCCAGGAAGTTAGTTTGCTGACTCTGTGCATAGAACGCTGGGCTCCACATCAGGAAGACCCGAGTTCACATGTGGCCAAGGCCACTTTCTAACTGCGTGACCTCTCAGTCTCCATTTCCTCCTCTCGAAAATGAAGAGGCTGGATGAGGTCCCTTCTGGCTCTATTTCTATGGTCCTATAGATCCTTGAATCTAATAATAATAATGACAATACCTAGCATTTGTGTAGTGTCTACTCCATGCCAGGCGCTATGCTAAGCACTTTACATACATGATCTTGTTTGATCCTCACAACAACCCTGGCAGTGGGCGCTGTTATCATCCCGTTTGTGCAGTTGAGGAAACTGAAGCAAATAGAGGTTGAGTGACTTTCCTTAAGTGTCTGAGGCAGGATTTGAACTTGGGTCTTTTAACTCCAAGGGTTAAAGGGTTCTATCCATTGTACCACCAGCTGTCTAGAAATCTAGAAATAAGCAAAAACTGCCTTGAGATAACAAGGGCCCTGTGGTCCTTGTTTAACATGGAATTGGGCCAGGCTTGATCACCTGGTTTCCTAACGGGAGGATGGCCAAGGCAGGCAGAGCAGCAGTGCGTCGTAGGCCGTGCCTCCACCTGGTGGGGGCGTCCGATGGACCCTGCGGCCAGCCTTCCGACAGAGCTGGGGCCTGAGTGGCAGCTCAAGAGCGCAGCAAATGATGCATACTGGATACAGTTTGTTTTTCTTTTTTTTTTTTCCAGTGGGTGGAGTTGGGGAGAGAAAATTGATTTTGTTCATTGAAAAAAATTAAATCTTTAGAACTGATGCCTGACCATTATATAACACTTGTAGTCTACAAAGTTCTTTTATTCCATCGACCCTTCTCCAACAGTGTTACGGTCAATCATATTAATTTTATAGATGAAGAAACTGGCTCAGACAAGGGACCTGCACAAGGTCACACAGACCAGAAATGGCAATGTCAGGGCTTGGATCCTTAGACATCAAGTTCGGTACTTCTTTTTTTTTTTAAAAAAAAGAAGAATATTTGTTTAACTTTTGTTTTACATCGTCTAGATTTCTCCCAGTATCACTCCCCTCCTGGAGTTATCCAATATGGTAGTGAATTGTTTAAAGAGGAAGAAGAAACACAATGAACCCAAGCAGACAGGGCATTAACAGGTCTGAGGAGAGGTGCAGGGCGGCTAGGGCCTCCTCCACCCACCAAGGAGCGTGGGAGCTGCTGTCCTCTCCTTCCTCTCAGAGGCTTCTGAGTCACTTTTGATGGTGGTGGGGTCCTTCCCTAAGTTCACGCTCTGCTGGGCGTGTATTTTGTATTCCCAGCTCTGCATCAGGTCACGTAGACGTGTTCGTACTTTTCCAGGTTCATCCCACACGTCCTTTCTTACAGCCCAGTCCTATTGCCCCATCTAACCCTCCTGCGTTCAGTGGGCATTCACTGTTTCCAGGTCTTTGTTACCCCAAGAGGTGCCATTCATTGCTTTTCTGTGTCTGCCTGCCAGCCGTTGTTGGCCTGCCCAGCCTCTGCTTCTCACCACTGACTCTCTGGTCTTTGCAGGTCTGGAAGGCGGTGGGCTGGAGGCTGATCGCCCTTTCTTTGGGGCTCTATGGCCTCCTCTACGTCTACGAGCGCGTGACGTGGACCACCCGAGCCAAGGAGAGGGCCTTCAAGCGCCAGTTTGTGGAGTACGCCAGCGAGAAGCTGCAGCTCATCATCAGCTACACTGGCTCCAACTGCAGCCACCAGGTCCAACAGTAAGTGTAATCCCAAGGCCAGGCCCGAGCGGCCTGGACAGGCCTCCCCCTTAGCACCCCTGGCCCTGGTGACTCCAGGCATTGGGGCATATCCTGCCATGGACGCCTTCTGGCTCAGGAGCGGAGCGGCGGAGGGCTGCCCGAGGACACCACCACTTGGGGGCACGGCATCAGGGGGGGCTGAGCCTGGGAGTGTCCTCCCCAAACTTTTCACCGATGTTTGAGCAGCACGGCCTCTGGTCAGATCAGTCAGTGGACCTGAGCAAAGTCAGGAAAAACTATCTCTCTTTCAGAGCTCTCCAGCTTTGAAGAATTGGGCATAAAAATTTACTGATGACTTTTCCCATGGCAGGAAAGTTAAATAGGATTGATTCTTTTAGATTAGATCTGACATCAGCAGTGCAGTTAGACATGCAAATGCTGAGGACATGCAGCACGTGGCATGTGTTGGGTGCTGGCTGCACTGGTGTTTGGGACTTGAAGGCGCTCAGGTCCTCTGGTGTCCATCTTTTTGCTTTTTTTGTGAGGCAGTCGGGGTTTTAAGTGACTTGCCCAGGGTCACACAGCTAGCAAGTGTCGAGTGTCTGAGGCTGGATTTGAACTCAGGTCCTCCTGACTCCAAGGCCGGAGCCCTGTCCACTGCGCCACCTCGCTGCCCCACTCTGGTGTCCACCTGGCCTCTTTGGTTGTGCTTCCTAATGACCCAGCCTCTCCCTCCAGGGAGCTGTCTGGGACCTTCGCTCACCTGTGTCAGCAAGTGGACGTGACTAGGGAGACTCTGGAGCAGGAGATTGCTGTCCTGAATAAAAAGATCGAGGTTCTCGACTCATTGCAGAGCAAAGCCAAGCTCCTCAGGTACGTGCTGCCGGGGGCCATGGGGAAGCCGGCTGGCCAGAGCGGTCACCTCGGCAGCCAACCCGCACCTGCAGGGGGGGCCAGGAAGGCTTGGCGTCCTCCCAGGGTCCTTGCCAGGGTGGGTCTGGGAGGCCCAGGTTCTAGCTGTAGCTCTGGATACTTAGCAGTGCCCCCTGGCAAGTCCCCACTGCTCTACACCTTGGCTTCTTCATTTGTATGTTGCGGTTAGTACCTATCCAGCCCTTCTCAGGAGGGCTTGTAAGGATCCCATAAGGTGCATTTGAATGTATCTGGAAGAAAGGAAGTACGAACAATGTCATTGAGCGTTAGGCTCTGGGCCTCAGTGTCCTCATCTGTAAAGTGGGCAGGGTCTCACCACCTACTCCTCGGGGTCGTTTGGACATGAAGCACTTGCAGACCTTCATGTGCTGTACAAATTCTAGGTGTTACGATGATGATGATTTAGGGCTGGCAGGGACCTTAGAAAAAACCCAGCACAGATAGGGGGGAACCGAGGCCCGTGGAGGGCTGAGGACTTGCCTGAAGTTATTATGTAGGATTGCCGGGACTTCTATTTTGGCTTTCTGCCTCCCGAGTTCGGCCCTCTTTCCACCACTCCACTGCTGCCAGGACCTTGGCATTTCCTGGTTCCCCTTCTGGAGTTTCATCAGACAGACTTTCCATGTCTCTGGCTTTGCTAAAGTGCCTTCTCTTCCCTTTAGTCAGTAGTCCAGATGAAGTGCCCCTCGAGTCGACAAATGACAGTCTCACAAGGGACCCATTTCAACAGACAGTCCTTGTCTCCTGAGCTGGGGTCCCCTGGGTCCTGCGGGGCCGGGGATCCGCCATCTTGGCTCATTCATAAACGACTTTTATGAGCTCTGAGTTCTAGCTACCCAGGACTACTTGATGTTCCCTGAGCTTCCTATTCTTCTCATCTGTAGAGGTACAAGCAGATGAATGAGTGGCCATGTCAAAACACTCCCTCATTTGTGCCCTCTACAGTCCTTATCTCCCAAAGGAACACAGCTTGGCTAGGGGCAGTATCCTGTGAGAAAACCTCGCTGGCTTCTGCGTGCACGAGCACATGTGTACGTGCACGCACACACACATGCACCCCTACAAATTGAGATCGCCCATCACGTAACCTTCCAGTACTGCTCTAATGTCTCCCTATTACCTCTTGACTCCCTGCCTTGCATTTACCACGTGGATGCATAGAAGTCTGTCTCTCCAGTAGGAGATAATTCCTTGAGAGCAGGAACTGTTTTCCATCTTTTGTTTGTGTAGCTCCCTTACATATGTAGTAGGCCCTTTATGCGTGTTCAGATTGAATCCATATGATGGTTATTTCTCTTTTCAGGAATAAGGCAGGTTGGCTGGACAGTGAACTCAACATGTTCACCCATCAGTACTTGCAGCCGAGCAGATAGTGCGGAAATCTGGGAGCTCCAGGAGGTGTGAAGAGTGGTCGTCGGGGCCCAGACTGAGGCAGAACAGTGGGAGAGGCCTCAGGCCAAGACACAAGCCAATTCCTGTGGGCAGCAGCCACGTAAATGATAGCACCCCAATTTCTGATAGGGCATTGAACCTTTAAATGCTAGTTATTTATTACCCTTCCTTTGCCTGCTGTTGAGATTAGGTGGTTTGCAGGAGGAATGTCTGTCTCCATATGCTTAAGGGAGAATTTTTCTTGTAAAGATAACTGCAGACGGTACTGAGGTTTCTTTAAATTTTGTTATTTCTAAACTTTTATCAAGTTCTAATTGATTCAGTCTTTTGCTTGTTTGGTAAATGACTTGTTACAATGATTCTTTTGATCTCAGAGTCAGCCAAAGCCCACATTAAGAGTATTGGAGGAAGGTAGTGATCAAGCCAAGCCCCCCTCTTCCCCTCCTCTCCTCCCTCCCTCCCTCCTGCCCTCGGTGGCATTCGCATTAGCCTGTGTAGACCACGGTCGTCTGCTCTTCTTCAGCTGAAATACAACAGTAGAGAACAGTCACTCTTTCTGCCCCTCAGATACAAATGTTCATTTGAAATAGCTACAGAGAAGTCGAGAGTCGTAGCCAGACCAGCCCAGGGAGAAGTCTTCCTTGGGTTCATTGGGCTTGGTCAGTTTGAATCCTCTTTCCCCTTGCAGACAGCGCTTTGTTAGCAGTATTTGACACACACAATGGCCAGGCTAGGGACGCTTAGCCAACCGAGAGCTGTTTGGGACTTGAAGAATTGCTGCAAATGGAAACGTAGGTGATGAAAATCGCTTAGAGAGAACAGTTAGCAGACCGTTGGTATGTGAGGAATGAAGAGCATGAAAGTGGCATTCACTTTCTGCCAGTTCTCTTCCCCCAGGTGTGTCTGGTTCAAGTTGTGCAGTGCATCTATGTGAGGTCTCACTTTCTGAAAGATACGTAGGTTTGAAGAAAGGAAGGAAGATAAGGCAGAAACGGCTTGGGAATTGAGAGGAGACATGGGCAGCAAGCATAGACTGGGGTGCCTTCCTGCAGGGCCTCTTAGAGCACGGTGAAAGACCGGCCTTCATTTGTGCTTGAAGTCGGCCTCTTAACTGCCCAGCTTAGATTTGCCAGCCTTTGCATCTTCCCCCTGAGATGAAATCACTAGTTTCAAACAGCCTGCCTGCATGTCTGTCTAAGAGTCTGTTCCACGTCACTGCAGCTGGTCTGGCTCAGCATTCAGTGCCAGTGACTCCTTGGAATCATTTGACAGAATTTGGAAAAACCCAAACCTCCCCTGTCCATCTCCCATCATCCATCCCCATAAATTTTAGTCTGAGACACATCTTGGCCAAGTAAGTGCACTGAAGACTGTTTTCCTGTCATTAAGTTTTGGGATGACTTCTCATTGGAGGTGGATGAACCCCTGCCCTTGGAATGTTGGCTTTTTCTCTGGTCCCAAGCAAAGCCTGAGAAAAGCAGCATCTCTCCTGCACAATCTTGAAGTTGGAGAGCAGGACAGTGACTTTGCTGGTGACTGACTGCCCATGGGGAGATGGGATTGCTCCAAAGAAGATAGCTTGCCTGGAGGCAGGGACCCCCTTCCTTCCCTTGAGAACTCCGCATCCTCACTCCAGGTGGCCATTAAGCAGACTTTCTCCCTCCTTGTTTCTGCATCTGGCTGTCATCGCGTCATCCTAAGCTTAGCTATTCGTGTGTCTTGTGCAAAATATGTGCTAGTCTCCATTCACAACCCAGTAAGCAGGCAGGAATGTTGGAAAGCAATCTGAGTACAGACTGACCCCACCGTAGCTAAGGTCCCACTTCTGAGTCTTCAGTGTTTGGTGACTGAGCTGTAGCCACGGTAGGGGTGAAGGGAACTCCCCAAGACAGTGCTGTTGGGCAGGGACTTGGATGGCCTACCTGTCCCCAGATCCCAGTGGCATAGAAACAGAAGGGCGTATAGTAAGGTCTTGCTGACATAGGAAAATGGTGAGAGGATGTTTTTAATGTTTTGCCAGGATTGACCGGTGGTAGCCTCAAAGGTTGATTTAAAATCACTGTAACAAAGCACAGTTGCCAATGAATTTTGTCGTATTTGTGGGGGTTTTTTTTAATCTAAATTTTAAAAAGAAAACATCTCTTAATGTCTTGAATGTAAGTGGGGAGCAATAGGAATTTTGAGGTTTTTTTGTGATAAATGGGTAAAATTTAATTTGTGACAATGAGGAAAGACCCTTTACTAAAAGAAGTTTGGCAAAATGCACTTTATTTTATTGCTGCTAACTTTTTTCCCTTTTTTGTGTTGTTGGATTACCAAAAGCTAAGCTTGATAACGAGTTCTCTCTCTGTTGTATTTAAGATGATAGATTTTCCTGAATTAGCCCTATATCATTGCCGAGAATATTGGAAACTGAAATAAAAAGCTGTTAGGAAACGCTTTGGGCTTGCATTTCATGTGTTTAAAGTCATGAAACCTTGAGAATTGCTCTGATTAGAAGGATAGCTGAGCACACAAACTATCCCAGCATGTATTGAAGGCAAAAGTTCTTAATAAAATGTGCCTGGTGGAGGCCCAGGCATTCTAGATTGGGGTTTTGGGTGTCTCAGGAGATCAAAACATCCCACCTTAAGTAACCAACAAACTGCAATTTTTCTGTGACCAGAAACCTTGGAATTTCTTAAAGGTAGAGGATTTCAAACCTGATCTCACCTTTCTGAGAGGGCTTGATTTTTTTTCAAAGAAAAGGAATTCTCAGGAACAGCTTACCATGATTGCGCTGAACACAGACCCACATGGCTACTACCTTGACGGGGCCCAGACACAGCGTTTGTCAAGTATACATTCCCCCAGTTGACACCTCTCTTAAGTTTCTTTGCACAGCATGAACAGAATGAGAGTTAGAGACCCAGTATCCTAAGCTGAGCAGAAAGGGGGGCTTAAAAGCTGCCTATCCCAGTATCATTTTATAGATGAGGAAACTGAGACCCAGAGGAACTGAAGTGATTTTCCTGAGGTTACCAAGGTTAGGGAAGTGAGTGGCAGAGCCAGGGTTCGAGAACCCAGAGTCACCTCACTTCAGATCCCACTCTAAGACTCTTCCCAGTCTGGGCCTGAGCTGCTTTCTCTGTTAAGTGAGGGAGTTGGGGTAGGTGATTTCTGATGCCCCTTTCAGCTCTGAGCTCTCTGACCCTACCCTATGTAGTCATGTAATAATTTGACAGTGATATAATAATTAGATAGTTATGGTCAATAACACTGATCCCTGGGGCATTTGCACCATAATGAATACTTGACTGTGTGTACTGCCTGTTCATTTCCAAATGACTGGAAACAAAACCAACCCAAGCCTAATCCGAGAGATTATGGAGCTCCTACTAAATTCCTCCTGTGATGAGGAAGGAGGCTGTGAGATTTCTGGGTGGAGGCTGACTCTATTCAAGGTCATTCTCTTTCTCTGCGAGGGTAATTTTTGATAAGCCATACTTTCTCCTTTGAAAACTGCTTGTAAGCTTTAAAATACTTTACAAATAAGAAATGGGCAAGTCATTTAACCTGAGTCTCAAATGCCTCATCTATAAAATGAGGGTGATAATATCCGTAGAGTAACTCCTTCACAGATGAAAGTGAGGATCACAGATTTAGAGCTGAAAGAATGCCAAGAGACCATTGAGTCTGACCTACCTTTCCTTACAGAGGAGGAAGCTGAGCTCAAAGAGGGGATTTGTCCAGGGGTACACAGACGTAAGTGTCTGAGGCCGATTTTGAACACAGGTCTTCCCGACTGAGTGCAGTGCTCTGTCCACCATGCCATCTAGCTGCCTCTATCAAATGAGATTTTACACAAAGCGCTTTGTAACCCTATGTTAGACCCTGTAAACCCTGAATAAATTTAATTTATTATGCTGTGTAGCCATGTCTAGGAATTCTTAACCTAGGCCCATGAATTCTTGTAAGTCCCATAAAATACATTTTCATAATAAGGCTAATGGGAAAAACAAATGACTCACTTCCAAGCATTTGAAGGGCTGTTGTGTGGAAGAGATTTGTTTTGCTTGGGCCCCAAGGGAAGAGCTAGGAGGAAGGAGTAGAACTTATAGGGGCAGATTTAAATTCCCTACAAAGAAAACTTCCTGACCAGAACTCCAAAGCAAGGGAGGGATTGGGCTCCCCTCTCACTAGACTTCTTCAGGCCATTGTCATAGAAGGGTGGTTTGAGGCCACCTGCCAGTCTCTTAGTATTAAGGACTCATTACTAATTTATGTCCTGAGCCCTGTTACTGCTGTGTGTCTCCCCCTTCCCCTTGATCCTACACAAGAAGTTCCCATAACTACTTTTGTTTAATTTCTGTTATCCCTGTGTTTCCCCTGTCTCAACTTCTAAAATGTACTACCAGACCAGGCCGTCCTCTTGAACCACTGAGACTCCCTCCCCCCTGGGCTCCAGCTCTAATCAGCGAGCCCACCTTATTTCCAACAGAGGTAGGAATCCATCCTGGCTATCGTATTGCTGCTAGCTCAGGTAACCAAGGTAGAATTCGAGCTGGGTGTTGGAGGAAGGGCAGGATTTGGACAAGAAAATAACAACACAGTGTTTTCAGAGTGCGTGGCACTTAAATATTGATTGATTCATTTGACTGAAATGTGCATGATCGGTAGGAGGAATCAAACTAATAAAGAGGTTATTTTATAGAATGAGACAATAAATATCAGTTGGAGAAAAATGTCAAGAATTTCAAGAGAAAAAATATTTTTTTAAAAAAAGGAATTATGGAGACCCCAAATTATCAGATTTGATTATAAAGTAGCAATTATCAAAGCTATATAGTATCATTTAAAAAAAAGAAAAGTAGATCCATGGATCAACTGTGAAAGACTTGGCTACTCTGATCAAGACAGTGACCCAAGACAACTCCAAAGGACCCATGATGAAAAATGCTATCCACCTTCAGAGAGAGAACTGATAAACCCTGAATGCTTATTGAAACATACTTTTTTTAAAAATTTTTTTTGTTTGTTTTTGGTGAGGCAATCAGGGTTAAGTGACTTGCCCAGGGTCACACAGCTAGTAAGTGTCAAGTGTCTGAGGCCACATTTGAACTCGGGTCCCCTTGACTCCAAGGCCAGAGCTTTATCCACTGTGCCACCTAGCTGCCCCTGAAATATACTTTAAAAAAAAAAACAACTTTATTTTTGTTTTATTTTGTTTATGTCTTCTTTTACAACATGGCTAATATGGAAATATGTTTTGCAAGACTACTGTGTATAATCAATATCAAATTGCCTTGTCAAGGAGTGGGGAGGGGCAAGAGAGGGAGAAATTTTGGAACTCATTTTTTTTAAATGTTAAAAATTGTTTTACATGTAATTGGGAAATATTTTACAAAATAGAATAATTTTTTTTCAAAATAAAATAATTTTAAAAAGAAAAGTAGATCCATGGAACAGACTAAATAACAATACCTAGAAGCAAATAAACACAGTAATCCAGTGTTCAATAAACCCAAGAATACAACTACTAGAGGGAAGGTGACCGTCTTTAACAAGAACTGTCAGGAAAATTAAGAGGCAGTTTGGTGGAAAACAAGTTGAGACCAGCATTCTCCACCACATACCAAAATATGCTCCACCAACAAAGGAAATTAAGATGAAATTAAGTTAGCTATTTTGCCCAATTATATACCAATAATTTTGACAATCTAAATGAATTGGATGAATATCTACAAAAATATAAATCGCCCACATTAACAGAAGAAGTAAAATACTTAACCCAATGTCAGAAAAAGAAATTGAACAAGCTATCAATGAGTTCCCTAAGAAAAAATCCCCAGGGCCAGATAGATTTACAAGTGAATTCTACCAAACATTTTAAAGAGCAATTAATCCCAATGCTATATAAACATTTGGAAAAAAAAAATAGGCAAAGGAGTACCACCAAGTTCCTTTAATGACACCAATATGGTGCTGACCAGGAAAAGCCAAAACAAAGGAAGAAAATTATAGACCAATTTCCCTAATGAATATTGATGCAAAAGTTTTAAATAAAATACTAGCAAAGAGATTACAACAATATATCACAAGGTTCATATACTATGACCAGGTGGGATTTATACCAGGAATGCAAGGCTGATGAAAGAATTTAGGACCCAAGAAGATATGGAGAACATTACAAACTGTAAAATAGATAATTTTGATTATATAAAATTAAAAAGTTTTTGCACAAACAAAACCAATGCAAGAAAAATTATAAGGAAAGCAGAAAACTGGGGAAATTTTTTTTTTGCAACAAGTATCTCTGATAAAGGCCTCATTTCTCAACTACATAGAGAACTGAGTCAAATTATAAGAATACAAGTTATTCCCCAATTAATAAATAGTCAAAGGATATGAACAGACAGTTTTCAGATGAAGAAATCAAAGCTATCCAGTCATATGAAAAAATGCTCTAAATCACTATTGATTAGAGAAATACAAATTAAAACAATTTGAGGTACTACTTCACACCTATCAGATTGACTAATAATGACAAAACAGGAAAATGATAAATGTTGGAGAAGATGTGGGAATACATATGCATTGCATGTTGGTGAAATTGTGAACTGATCCAATCATTCTGGAGAGCAATTTGGAACTATGTCCAAAGGGCTATAAAACTGTGCATACTCTTCGATCCAGCAATACCACTGCAAGGTCTATATCTCAAAGAAATAAAAAAAAAAGAGGGGGGGACACCTATTTGTACAAAAATATTTATAGCAGCTCTTTTTGTGGTGGCCAAGAATTGGATATTGAAGGGACATCCATCAGTTGGGGAACAGCTGAACAAGCTGTGGTACATGATTGTAATGGAATATTGGGTTTTTTAAATTTATTTTGATTTATCAACAATCACTTCCATAAGCTTTTGAGTTTAAAATTTTTCTCCTTCCTCTTTACCTCCCTCCCCAAGATGGTGTGCAATCTGATACAGGCTATACATATACATTCCTATTAAACATATTTTCACATTAGTGATGTTGTAAGTAAGAATTAGAACCAATAGGAGAAACCACCAGAAAGAGGAAACAAAATACAACAGAAGAAAAAAAATAGCAAATTGTATGGTTCAATCTGCATTCAAACTCCATGGTTCTTTCTTTGGATGTAGATAGCATTTTCTCTCATGAGGCCTTTGGAGCTGTCTTGGATCCTTGTATTGCTGAGAAGGGTTAAGTCTATCAGTATTAGTCATCACACAATGTGCCTGTTATTATCTACAGCGTTCTCCTGGTTCTGCTCACTTCACTCAGCATCAGTCCATACAAGTCTTTCCAGGTTTTTCCAAAGTCTGCCTGTTCATCATTTCTTATAGCATAATAGTATTCCATTATATTCATATATCACATTCACAGTTATGATTATTATCTGTCTCTTTCTCTCCATCCTTCTTCCCCCATTTATGCTTTTCTTTCTCCTTCTCTTCCCTTCTCACTAATGTTTTGCTTTTGACCACCGCCTCCCTCAGTTATGCCTCCCTTCTATTAGCCCCCTCTCTTTTCTTCTCCTTTATCCTTACTACTTCTTCCCTCCCTTCTATCCCCCCTCCC